CTTGGGGGGAGGGGTGGGAACGGGGGGGGGGGGGCCTCTGGGTTTGGGGGAGGGCCCAAACTGGTCCCAGTTGCCAGCTGCAGCGGGCCCAGTTGGAGGGGAGTGGGCGCATCCCCTTAACTCCGCCCCTCCGCAGCATGGATATACCCTTAACTCTGCCCCTTGCACGTATATACCCTTAACTCTGCCCCCCTACATGCGCATATCCTTAACTCTGCCCCTGCTTTGCATATCCTTAACTGTGCCCCCCAAATATGTCCATTTCCTTAACTCTGCCCGACACGTGCATATCCTTAACTCCGCCCCCTACATGTGCATATCCTTAACTCTGCCCCACACATGCATACCCTTAACTCCAACCCCACTTTGTATATCCTTAACTCTGCCCCATGCACATATATACCCTTAACTCCGCCCCTGTTCTGCATATCCTTGACTTGCCCTCTAAATATGGCCATACCCTTAACTCTGCCCCCCAAAATGCATGCCCTTCACTCTGCCCCTCACGTGGGCATATCCTCAGCTCTGCCCCCCATGTGTGCACATCCTTAGCTCTGCCCCGCACTTGTGCATACCCTTAACTCTGCCCCCCAAAAATGCATGCCCTTAACTCTGCCCCATGCACATACATACCCTTAACTCTGCCCCTCATGTGCGCATATCCTTAACTCTGCCCCTCTTGTGTGCATATCCTTCACTCTGCCCCCCATGTGTGCACATGCTCAGCTCTGCCCCACACTTCTGCATACCCTTAACTCTGCCCCCCAAAATGCATGCCCTTCACTCTGCCCCTCACGTGGGCATATCCTCAGCTCTGCCCCCCATGTGTGCACATCCTCAGCTCTGCCCCACACTTGTGCATACCCTTAACTCTGCCCCCCAAAATGCATGCCCTTCACTCTGCCCCTCACGTGGGCATATCCTCAGCTCTGCCCCCCATGTGTGCACATCCTCAGCTCTGCCCCACACTTGTGCATACCCTTAACTCTGCCCCCCAAAATGCATGCCCTTCTCTCTGCCCCTCACCTGGGCATATCCTTCACTCTGCCCCCCCCATGTATGCACATCCTTAGCTCTGCCCCACACTTGTGCATACCCTTAACTCTGCCCCCCAAAATGCATGCCCTTCTCTCTGCCCCTCACCTGGGCATATCCTTCACTCTGCCCCCC